AAATTCCCGTCTGCTCTATTGCGTTCTCTTTTTTTGTACAAAATTCTTTCACACTCAGCAACTCCTTGTTTCTTAGTGACTTTAATGCCTTAATTCTGAAGATGCCTCTCAGAACATATACAAATCAAGATAGATTAAAATTTATTTGGAAACTAAAAAAAAATGATGAATTGCCACGTCATATCTGTTCTTTTATAGTTGGATATTTCTCGCACACAAGAAGATGAGATTGCAGTCAACAAAGATTTGATTTAACAGAAGAATTATAAGAATACTATTGGTGGAACCTTTGAGAAACTTAGCTTTTTAATGGATATGGGATCAAAAATGACTTTTAGAATACAGATGAAATTTTGGGGTGACAACAGGGAAAGATGGCTTGATGTGATCATATTGACGTCAAAAGGGAGCGAGTGAAATATCGATTAATTCATCTAATTTTGCCATCAGAGTTTGAGCGTTGCATCAAAGAGGAAAACATTTCATATAGCTTCAAACGAAAGGAAGATGTAGAGGCCTATGATCTCTCACGTCCTGGAGATTAAAGTAGAAACTACTCGGTCTTAAATAAGCAAAATTTAAATTCTAGTAACAACTGTTTCTAATAATAGAAGCTTAAACTTCACACGCGTGTATATGTATAAGTGTAAATAATTATAGGCAAGAAGTGTAAATATGTGCGTGTCTGTCAGGGACAGGGAGAAAGAGTTGTGTGGAAGTGTCCGAGTTTAATTGAATCGAATGGGAAACAGAATTCGTGGATTCGCATAAATGCGGAGAAATGTACAGTCTATACGAAGCTCGTCTTCTTAATAAAAAATTTAAAAAAAAACAAAAAAAAATTCGCAGTTGATTTGGAAACAATGAGAGAAACTCCAGACACCAAAGAAAAATGTCGAAATGTAGATAAAAACATAGCAAAAAACTGGTTAGAAGAGAAAAGCAAAAAGATGTTGATAATAACAAAAAGAAGACGAATTATTTTGGCGGGAAAGATTAACCGTTACCGTTAGAATGAAGCAATAAAATAAAACAACAACGACAATAATAATAATAATAATAATAATAATAATAACAACAACAACAGATAGCACTTTTTGTTTTCTGTCTTAAAAAGGAGGTAAAATCCTGTGAAACAAAAAAATCTAGCGAGTAGAGCGGAGATGTTGACTGTCCCTTAAAAGAAGTTAACTTGCGGCCATTTTGGATTTTTTTTCTTCATCAATTTTCTGCGTCACATACGGTTTTCATTCATTTCCGTTCCATTGCGATTGGTATTTTTCTTCTGTCTGATTTTATTCACAAAGTCTTTTTTGCTAGAGAGCTTCGTTTTATAAGAATAATGAACAAAATTTTAAAAAGTCACTCAAAAAGGGAAGAATTGTCCAAACGCCTATTTATCTATCAACACAACGTTTTAAAATTATGGACTTGTTCCTAACTTTACAAAAAAACTTCTAAAGATAATACGTACCTAATTAGAAAACTGCTTTTTAAACAAGGTGTCACTTATCTATTTTAGAATTAGTACAAAAGAGAGACATTGAAATACGAAATCGCATTGGGGAAACGAAAGTTACCTTTTAAAAGCTAAGCAAAGTAATAAGAAACAGAAAAAAAAATCCGTTAGAAATAAAGGAAATGGTACTGAACTGTTTTGCAATATCAGTCTACCTATATGGCAGTGAATATTGGGTAATCTGTACAGAGATGAAATAGAGACTTGATGCAACAGCGATGAAGTTCAACTGAAGGTTGCTGAGAATGCCAAGGATCAAAGATGTGAGCGACAACGGAGTTTTAGAGAAAATGAAAATAAAAAGGACATTTTTATTTTGAATCAAAAAGAGACAGTTGAAACTTCTAATGCACATAATGAGGAAAGAGGGCTTTCAAAATCTAATGCTCGCAGGATAGATTAAAGGAAGTGGAAAACCAAACATAATCTACATATAATGCTTGGGGAAATGAATGACGGATCAGTGTTTTAGAGAAATAACAAAAATATATTTATTAAGAGCTACAAAGGACAGGAAATAGAAGACATGATCTCCTATATCCTGAAGACGAACGGCATATAGAAGAAGAAGAAGAAGAAGAAGAAGAAGAAGAAGAAGAAGAAGAAGAACTTTAGGCACCAAGCTTGTGTTGCTACAGAAGGATGCCGAGGATACGATGGGAGGAACATGAGGTAACAATAAAGTTTTAAGGAAAATCATAACAAAAATCTCATACTTAAAATCAGAAAGAGACAATTGAAGTTTTTAGGGTACATATTGAAGAAAGATAGCTTGGAGAATTTGATACGCACGAGAAATATTGAAAGCAACAGACCGAGGAAAATAACCTACACAACGAGATTTCTTGCCTTTTGTGGCTCGAAAATGATCTTTTGTAAATGGTTGCCAGAGCAGGGGTAGAACAGACGGGAGTAATATTTATAATTTCTTTGTTTTAAAACAGTTTTTCAAGAAAACGAATGCCTCAAGTCCTGTAGCTGTTATTGCTCTTTCCAGTGGTAACGGGATTTTTCTTCTTAGCCTTTTAAATGAAGTAGTGTGGAATGACCACATCTTGATTGTAACATCATCATCTCTTCGATTTACAATTGGTATCTATTTTAATTGTCTTTGCTGTTGAAAGTATTCAAGGATTATTTCCTTGTTTTTTGTTTGAAATAGCATGGAATGTCATCATCTTCATTATGCCATAATGATCTCTTCGATTTACAATTGCTATCCATTTTAGTTGTCTCTGCTGTTGAAAGTAGTCAAGTGATATGGTTTCTATTATCTGGTATAATTCTCTCTTTATGATTCCATAACATAATGCACGAGAAGGATGATCGTCGCTCTAGATTTACAGGCTTCACTCATTCGAAACAGCGCATAACCAACCTAACGGGCTTGTAAAATGAAGGGCAGAACAGGTTTTAGGAGAAATAGCAAGAATACAAAATTTACTAAAAGCTTTATAAGAAATTGTGGTAAGCCATGATCTCCAAAATCCGGAAGAGACACGTCACACAGAAAAAGAGGGTATCCCAATTACAAGTCAAAGGCAAAGATTTCCAATGTGATAATGCTTATACATACCGATATTTTAATATTTCTGTTCTCGGAAATGTTTTTGTTTAACATTTGTCTATCGCTATTTCCACGGCAAATGATCAAGTGAGCTTCAGTTCCAAGAGTTACGATATTTGCAGCCAAGACACGCCTGCTAATTCCACGGAAATGAATCATATTCATTTCCTCTGCGATTCAAATGTGAAAAAGACGTTCCACACTGAGAGCTTTTATCCTAAGAACTGCCACATTGGGGAAAAGTTTCTATGTGGTTACTTCCCAGGACGTTTCAATCTTGACTTCTTCAATCATTATCTTTGTAATTTATCCTCGTAATTTTCATATTTTATCGATTCTTCCATTCATATCACACATCTCATTAAACATTACCATTTTTTGGTGGCTACAACCCTCTTTCTTGAGTGCCTCTAGAACCTTGTATTGGGTGAAATTTATTTTTTAAATTATTTTTGCTCTCTGGCTGAAAATATATATTTTATAATTCTGTCTTTTATACGGGTATCAGAAACCCTTCAGGTATTTCAGTATTTCCCAACCATCTCTTACAAAATGTAAGCCCTCCAATGTCGACACTTTGTCCAAGACATCAACAGAAATTAATGGAGAAGTTTCTTTCGAATGAGTTCAGGCCTCTATTCAGGAGATTGGAGGTTTGGGCGGGGCGTGGAACCACCTCTTAATAGCTGTTGTTCCGAGGTCCACTCTGGATGGTAGCACCTATTAGGGTCCCAGCTATGGAAAAATAGGGAATCCCCAAACAAAAACTTAACACTATGAAAGTATAAAGATATATGTTTATACTAAAAATAACAGCAATACATTATATAAAAACGACAATATATTTTGAAGGTATACAATTGCGTTCATTTAGTTGAAGCCATAAAATTCCACGGAAATGAGACGGGAATTATATTTATAATTTCTTTGTTTTAAAACAGTTTTTCAAGAAAACGAGTTTCTCAAGTCCTGTAGCTGTTATTGCTCTTTCCAGTAGTTACGGGATTTTTCTTCCTAGCCTTTTAATTGAAGTAGTGTGGAATAACAACATCTTGCTTATAACATCATCTCGTCGATTTACAAATGATATCCATTTTAGTTGTCTTTGCTGTTGAAAGTATTCAAGGTTACTTTTCTTGTCTTTTGTTTGAAATACCGTGGAATGTTTTCATCTTAATTATGCCATCATCATCTCTTCTATTTACAATTGCTCTCCATTTTAGTTGTCTTTGGTGTTGAAAGTAGTCAAGTGATATGGTTTCTGTTATCTGGCATAATATTTGTTTGTGAATCCTTAACAAAATGTACGAGGAAGAAAAGTCCTCACAGAGACATGCACGCTTAACTCATTCGAAACCATTTCTTTCCATCGATCTGACTGTGAAGTCCTATACAGCCGACAAGTCTCGCGCCATGAATGACATCAATATAAAAATCTCGATCTTACGAGACTCTTTAAGGACATGACACGAGATTTTAGGTTAAAGTTTTGGTTTTGTAGTATATTGCAGTGTTGGGTGATACTAAACTGAGAACAACTTATTCTCTATTCAAATTATTTATCTCCAATTAAAAAGACCATGGGGAAATCTAATTCTTCCCCGCTCGCTGTGTTCAATAGTAACATAGATTGGGCTCTCTAACCATGGGTGCTAGCTAGTCTAGGAGTAGACCATTTCTGAATGCTGAACCGTTGAGAAATTAAAGGGAAAATTTAACTATATTTTTTAAGATGTTATGTCAATTCAAAATCAATAAAAGGAAGCTGTGGAAGTGAATGAATGCTTACGCCATGAAGGTATATATCATAAAAGTAAGATTATACTGAATGTTTCCATTACCGCTTCTACACATATCATGATATATTAATCGAACTCTATCTCTTTTGCAGTCTCCTCACCGCTCACATTTTTTATGCCTTTCCTTTTGTTCCTTGTTCAATTTGTCAGCAAGTGTTCTCTCTTCCTTACCACTTCTCAGAATATTTTTTTACTTTGCTTCCTCTTTTGCTCATATTTATTTCCATATTTTTCGCGTTCTTTTTTATGCCTGCTTTCTTTATTCATTCTCTTTCTCTCTCTCCCCCTCTCTCTGTCATATCCTTTCCTTCTATTTTCAATGTCGATTATTTTCTTTTTACGGAATGCAGCTGCTCTTTTAGATTTTTTTTCAAAATTCCGTGTTTATTTTTTATATTTTGTTCTTAAGTCTTCTTTCATTTTTTATTCTTTTTTATCGTAAAAAGTATTTCTTTCTTTCTAATTTGCGTTCTTTTACAATTTTATTCTTATTTATCTTAAAAAAAAATACTTCTTTCTTTCTTTGTTTTTTTTTTCTTTTTTGTTCTCAACTCTTCTTTCACATTTTCATTCTTTTTTACCGTAAAAATATTTTCTTACGTCCTCTGTTTTTTTCATCCACACTTCCATTTATGTCTTTCTTTGCCTTCAGCTTTTCTTTCTATCTTTCCTTCTTTTCTTCAACCTTTGAAATACTTTTTTTCACCACCACTTCACATTTTTTTATTAGTCATCAACCTGTTTTTGGCTTTTTCTTTCATTCTCATCAACGCTCGTCTTTCTTTGTTTCGCCTTTCTTTCTTTCATTCTTTCTTTCTTTCTTTCTTTCTTTCTTTCTCTTCATTTGTATTAATGCATTCATGACTTTCTTTCTTTCTTTTGTTCCTTGTCGCCAACAATTCTTCCCCATTATTTCTTTATCAACCATTTTCTTACGTTCTTTTTCTTTTGCTTTCTTTCTTTCTTTCTTTAATTCTTTCTTTCTTTCTTTCTTTGTTCATTTGTAATCAGATTGTCTGAGTGTCTGCCTCACCATCTGTTCATGAACGTTGTTAATTTGTCTCAGTTCGTGTCCATCAATTCGTTTCTATCTCCAACTCACCCCATTTCGTCTTTCTCCTTGTTTCATCGCTAAGTGCTATAGTTTTGGAAAGAATGTATACTCGGTGTCTGAAGAGGTGTGCTAATTTAACTGAAGTCAGGACTACAAGACACATTCACACTCACAAAGCACCAAGACACAGATTCACGCCCAACAAATAAACAAAACACAGACACACGCACACACATACATAAACACATATGGGCGCGTTGCCGAGTGGTTAGAAGGTTCGACTTTCGACCATGAGACTCTGCTGTGATTCTCACCATGGTTGATATTATCTAGAAGGCGACTCAGTAACGTTATTTGTTGCGCTACCCCAAATTCAGACGTTTCGAGACCGAGTCCTGATCATGAAACTGTAACTAAGGTTACAAAAGAAAGAAAGAAAGTCATGAGCATAGTTGCAGTAAAAACCAGACTTGTGTTGTACGGTTGTTGAACAAACACAAATGTTTGTTACATAAGAATATGCAACATGTAACAGTTTATAATAAATATTTATAGGTCTTCTCTTATATTGAGCACATCCATTATTGTTGAAACTTGACTAATGCATGGAATAATAATGCAACACAAAATGTACTTAGAACAAAATGTATTGAACTAGAAAGTGTACACAATATTTACATATAGTCTTTTGTATATTCCTGGTAAGACCGTTCCTGGAGAATGTGTTGACTGAGTCGCAGTCGGGCAGAGTCTCTGGTTGAATCTCTTGATTCCTCCCTCTCTTCCCGGTACCAACCATATTTATATGGTCGGTACTCCACTATGCAAATTAGGTGGATCCTACCACAACAATTATTAAATTAATGTTAAGAACATTTAAATTTTATTCTTTGACAGTCGTATATATATATATATATATATATATATATGAGCTTTAACGTTATTTTGAGTGTATACACATATTTTCATCTATTGGCCTAAATATGTGAGTAATCATATTAAAGAAAACATGCGGCCTCCGACAGGATACGAACCTGGGTCCACCTTTGCTGGAGAAATCTTCAACATATCCAATTCGCTTTTAATCGACTTGCCCACCATCAGCAAATTTCTATGTTGTCTTTTAAGCGCATTAAACATGCATCCACCTTTTCCTTTTTCGTTTTCTCAAATATGAGGATCCACTAAAAAATAATGTCTAAAGTGATTTTAAGACGTTGGCATAATAAATAAAAATACAGTACTTCTTTAGAAATTATTTTGTATACATTTGAGATATGAAACTGAGCAAGAATATACATATATATATATATATATATATATATATATATATATATATATATATTGTGAGACCGGAACTACCTACACAATAGACTCTTCCAGGTCTATATTAAGTATGCGACACAACACAGAGTGACTGAAACACAGAGAGACAGTGAGAGCCGCGTACGACTACCAGTATTGGACACTAACATATAGTTAGCTCCGCTTACCCTATCTCTGTAACCTGTTGTTAATATATCTTTCTTACATCTAATCCGTGTTCCGTGTTTTCCTTCTGTGGTCCCAACTTTGGCCCCACATCAGTGGCGACGAGGATTCTAGAAACGCACTCACGGCGAAACATCAATACCTTACCAGTTCCACATCTGGGTCGACGAAGAATTTTAGAAACGCATTCAGGTCGAAAAACCGCAATACTTTGTCAGTCCCACATCAGTGGCGACAGAAAGATTCGAGAATTTCGTTCTCACCATATCAATAGCGACAGTACTCGAAAAATACACAAACTCCACGCGTTCCTACAGCACTGTTGAACGAGAAATTAAGCTGGTATTACTACATTAGCGATTTAAACGCAGCACCTAGCGTCTACATATAAAAAATATATTCCGATACCAAACATCAGTGACGAACTAGCGATTCAACATCTACGGAATATTAAAGTCTGTCTAAATAACATTACGAGAACGATTTCTACACACCCACACACACAGAAAAAAAACAGTTGTTCGTAAAACAAACCGACAATACAAGAGCGGAAGTACTACCAATGTACTCAAGTTTTCGAAAAAAAACTATCGAATTTTTTTTTTTATGTAACTGAGTTGAACTCGGGCATAAAATTATTCTCCCCTCAAATTCACTGAGGTGAGTTTTCTCTTTTTATAACTCTAAAAAAAAATAAAATACGTAAGTGTGGTGAAAAATTATTAAATTACGTCAAAATTAACAGAACCACATCAAAAAAAAAAAAAGCTAAGCACATAATTAGTTTAGTTTAACTAATTGTCTGTCCATCTTTTTTTCTGTAAAAGAAAAAAAACAAGAAAAAAAAGCTATCAAGATTTTTTGTGTCCTTCCCCTTGGTACACGAGTACCAAAAAAATCGCTGTTATTTTTGTTTGTCTAAATATGGAAGATTTTCAAAAAGTAATTGCCCAAATGCTAAAAGTAAATTTGGATCAGCAACAAAAATCAGAAGAAAGACAACAACAACTACTTTTTGGAATTACATAAACAACAAATGGAATTCCAAAAAATTACGTTTCAGAAACAACTTAAAGAATTACTCGTAAATGCATTAAAAGGCTCAAACTCTGAAAAAGATACAATATTCTCCCAGAGTACAATCTACAATTCAATGGAAACCTTTGAATACGTACCAGAGAACGACAAAAATTTCAGGGGTTTTTACAGGCGCTACGAAGATATTTTCAACGTAGACTGTGAACAATGGCCCAGTAAAAAAAGGGTACGTCTACTATTGAGAAAACTGGGAACTACAGAACATAGTAGGTTTGTAGACTTCAAGACCCAAGAAAACCACTGACTTGGATATTTCAGACTATTAAGCTCCTATCGGAACTATTCGGGCCTAACACAACCTTGTTCCACAAACTTTGGAAATGTCTGAACACAGTCAAAAATAACCATCAAGATTTTCTAACGTTTGCAGCATCGGTAAACAAGCTCTGTAATGATTTTAAACTAGCCGAAATGACTGCCGATGATTTTAAGTGCTTAGTTTTCGCACAAGGTCTAGTATCAGCAGAAGACGCCGAAGTCAGACGACGGGTACTGACCAAGCTTGAGAACGAACAAGGATTGACTCTCCAAAACTGTCAAAGAGTAATATCTGCGAAGTGTGACTCAAACACGATCGAGGAATCAGGTGTGACTCAGATTAATAAAATCAGAAGTAAGTCTACCTCCTATTCTTCTAAAAAAGACAAAAGGCAAATCTCATGTCCTAAATTACGCAGTAACCAAATCCCAAATAGGTTAAAGAAACCTCCCGGACCATGTTACTATTGTGGTAAATGGCATTGGATGAAATTCTGTCCAGTTAAGTACAAAAAATATTGCAAAAATTGCAATAAAAGTGGTCATACATTAACTTCGTGCTGGTACGCCAACAGAACGAGAAAACCCAAAAATAAAATTAGGGAAGCTCAATCTGACAATATTGTCGATAGGAATTTAAGAAAATAGGTAACAGTGGATATTTTCAATAAGTCCATTAAATTTCAGCTTGACTCGGGTTCTGATATTTCAGCGATTAACTTGCGTACTTGGCGAAAATCAAACAAGCCGACCTTATTAAAAACGGATAAAAAAGCGAAATCCGTAACTGGCGAAAAGATTAACATTTTAGGTGAGGTAATACTTATAGTAAAACTAAATGGAGTTACCAAAAAGCTCAAAGCCTACTTAGTGAAAACTTCAGATAACTTATTCGGAACAGATTTGATAGAAAAATTCAATCTTTGGGATTGCTCAATGAGTACATTTTGTCGCAAGATACAAAGTACAACGTCCAATTTGGTAAATCTAAAAAAGGAACTCAAAACACAATTTCCCCAGGTTTTTTCTGGCGGCCTTGGGAAATGTACTAAAATGAAAGCTAAGTTCATGGTCAAGGACGGTGCACAACCGGTGTTCAAAAGGAAACGGAATGTCTCTTTCGCTGATCTAGAGCAAATCAAAAAAGAGTTAGATAGACTCGAACAAGCAGGTATTCTGTCAAAAACAGATTTCAGCGAGTGGGCAGCACCTACGGTCTACGTAAAAAAGAAGTCCAATCAAATACGAGTATGCGCAGATTTTTCCACAGGGTTAAACGAGGCCTTGCAAGATCACCACTATCCTCTCTCAAGCCCTGAAGAAATTTTCAATAAACTCAATGGTGGAAAAATATTTTCTAAAATCGACCTCTCGGACGCATACCTTCAGATAGAGGTGGAAGAAGAAAGTTCCAAATTGCTCTGCATAAACACCCATAGAGGGTTGTACAAATACAACAGACTGGCTTTTGGAGTAAAGGTTGCGCCTGCAATTTTCCAGCAGGTCATGGACGCCATGCTTGGCGACCTTGACTATGCAACAGCCTATTTGGATGATATACTGGTTACCAGTAAAACTATGGCAGAGCACCGGAACCATATAATAAACATATTCGAAAAAAATACAAGAATACGGATTTAAGGTCAAGGAAGCAAAGTGTGACTTTTTCTTACCAGAGATTAAATACTTAGGGCACATTATAAATAAAGACCGTCGTCGGCCGGATCCAGAAAGAACCAACGCGATCAGAAACATGCCGGCCGCAGATAACGTTCAAGCGTTACAAAGCTTCCTCGGACTAGCTAATTTTTACCAAGGGTTCATTAAGAACATGCAAAATTTGAGAAGGCCTCTCAACTAACTTTTAAAAAAGGACAAATCAAGGTCATGGAACCCGGAATGCCAAGACGCATTCGAGAAGATAAAGAAAACTCTTACTTCAGACCTCTCCCTCACCCATTACGACCCTAGTCTCGACATCATAGTCGCAAGTGATGCAAGCTCGTATGGCATTGGTGCTTGCATTCTGCATAAACTGCCAGATAGTTCGCGAAAAGCTGTGGCTCACGCATCAAGATGTCTACTTCCAGCTGAGAAACAATATTC